ATTTAGCATCAGACCTTCTACTTCTACCTTCAAACACATCACCCTGACACTCTTTTCACTTCTCCTACATTCTTTGCCAACTCCTCCTTCGGGACCACCACTACTCCATTTCTCTTTCTATCCACACCAGGGTAAAACATTTTAAACCCTGCTCCAATGCTGCAAGCCTTGCTGCCCTTCCTCTGTGTCTCTTGGACACATAAAACATCTACCTTCCTTCTCTGCATCATGTCAGCCTTTCTACCTTTGCCTGTCATTGTCCCACATTTAGAGTTGCAACCCTCAGTCCTACATTCTTGACTTTCCTCTTCTCCCCCTGTCTTCTGGCATGTTTTCTCCTCGTGATTTTCCACCATGAGGTTCATTACAATCGTGGTTCATGGTCCATTACCATTCAACCTTTATTTAGACCGGTTAATCCTATTGAGCGTCGAGGACTTCTTTACGAGAGACCTGATTTCAACAAAGAATGATGACAACAATGGACAACAGCGACAACAATAGACAATTATAAAAAGGCATACAGATTTTTTTTTTTACAAATAAGATTGCAAAAAAGTAACAAAAACAGCTAGATTATAAGGCCTAACCCTACTAACCCTAACCCTACCAACTTTACCTAATAAATCACAAATGAAGAGTATCAGTTTGAGCCCATAATTTTCCCCCCTTTGCGTCTGAACAATTAGTTCTGTCTGTCAGCAGCAAACTGGTTGGTCCACTATGAGAAGGTGCTGCTCATAAGACTGAGTTTGGTGCAGGTCCTCAAACTGAAGAATTATTTTGGATAAAGGACAAAATGTTTCAACAAAGAAGGATCTGTCCAGAGGACATGACTCAACCTTGTTAGATTACCAGAGAAATGTTAACATAAAACATCTCATACAGTACATGCAGTAGCTCCTGTAGTAACACCCAGCAGTAAGCAGTAATGCATTTAGTTGTCACGTTTTCTGTTTTGTCCACAGGTTTCTCCTTCACCTGACGTGCCAGTCTGCGGTGCTTGAGGGAGCTGCCAGCTTCAGCGTTGTTGAGACAAACGCCTTCAAGCACCTGAACCATTTGTGTCTTCGACTCGTCCAAGGCTCAGACAAGGAGCTTAAAGACTACCTGGCAGCCTGTCTGTCGTCACTGAAGGTTTGCTCTTTCGGTGTCCTTCTGACAGAACTTTGAAAAAATACTAGCTAAACTTTTTCGCCTACCATTGTTCAAGGAGGGTGCCCCGCTCTGTCAACAGAACTGGGTGCCCCACCTACCAAATCCCCCACCCCCACAGCAGACAGCTCCACTTCTTCTGGACAGGGACTGGAGATTGTAGCAGCTCAGCGCAGACAAAGCATTTGTATCACAGTGCTTCAATAAACACCACCGCCACACCCCGATTAAATAGTCATTTAATTGACAATTGAAGGGCTTAGTCAGACATTTTGAGCTAGGAATCTAATAATATCTAAGCTGTTGTAGAGTTTTCAGTTCAGGTAAAACTGCTTTCAGTTATTAGGACCAATGAGCTAACGGCTAGTCTGAGTAAAACTAAGACTAAAGGGTTTGCTGCTGTCTTAAAAGAACCCCAGTCTCCAGATTTTCATAACTTAGCCTTTTCTCTTGCCTCCAATTTTGCAACACATGCAACTCTGGGTTTCTGCCAGCAGCAGCAGCTAGAGTGAGCACTTCCTGGGCAGCCGGGGGAGCATCAGTCATTCTGCTAATGCAAAGATGGCAGTGTAAACATTTATGAAGTAGCTTTTGTCTTGATTCTGTTGAAATATTTGAAACCTTTATTGTTTGTTCCAATATTTTGTTTTACTTCCACCTGTTTTTACAGTCGTGGAAAAAATAAAGTCCACACTTTTTATTTTTTTATTTTTGTAGTATCAACATCTTATAAAAAAGAATCTAGTTCTAAAATGACTCAAACCCCAAGTGAACAAAAACGCACAGATTCCACCGAATCCTTCTTCAAGCAAAAAGTTAAAGCTTTGAGTGGAAAACCTGGTCCAGTCCTGCTGCTTCACTGGACCTCAGAGGTCCAGGATCAGCTGCTGATGAACTGATCCTCATCAGGAGGTTCTGCTGCGCTAGATCAGACAGGTGTGTTAACACGGTGCCAAGGTGGAAAGACTTCAGCAATGACCTCAGAGAAGCAGCTATTGCTGCCTGTCAGTTTGTCGAATGATGGACTCCTAATGACATCTGAAGATTATTCACAACAGGAAAACATTTCAGACAGCAGATTCACCCTGAAGGTCAGACTGTGCAGTGCTCAGAGACATGAGCTCCACCTCAGCCTCTACAGGCCTTAGTCAGTAAGATGAGTCTCCACCCAGCAGGACATCCTCCTCTGATGCGTGGTCTCAGGAGCACATGGTGTGGGAGGAACGCAAGAATATTTGTTTAGTAATCCTGTTGAAAATGTGACAAAAATAAATGTGGAGATCGTTTTGTGAAGTATTTTTCATTTTATTTGTTCAGACATTCAGTCTTGTCACTAAAATATAAAAAAGTATTTGTTCTGACAATAACTGCTGCTGAAGCAGTTTTTCACACAAAGCTTGAACGTTTTGGCTTCAGTTTTGATGGTGTCTTCTGTTGGGTCATATTGGACTAATTTCAGAACCCAGTAAAGACCAGACCTGTTTTATGACATCCTGACCTAGTAAACCCCAGAACCGAAAGACTGAGGACTTGGTTTGTTTTCCATGACTTAAAGCTTCTCTGATTTTCTGTGAGGTGAGAGGAGATACAGATGTGGCATTTTCTCATCGTTTCAGGCTGAAAAACTGTCCGTAGAATCCAAGCTGAAGAAGACTGAAGACGACCTGTCTCGACAGCTAAGTTATGCTCAGCAGGTCAGTTTTTGTATTTTAATCCTATAAATCCTACACCGGTCTTAGATGCTTGACTGATTTGTTCTGCCCAGAATTTTCTACATTTATCCTAAGAAGCTTTTGTTAAATAATGAAGCCCAGGCTGCCGAGTTTGTCTAAATCTGAACAAACAAAACACTTTTCTGACCTCTGAAGTCACTTTGATTCATACAGTGAGCTCATGAGCCCATACTATTGGTTGGTTTTCTTATTACCTCTCAGATTGAAGGCAATGTGTTTAACATAATGGTATTTCGTCCAGCTATTTAACTGTCAACAATGGTGTATCACAAGGCTCAGTCTTAGGTCCCACCTTCTTCACATTTACATAAATAATCTAGGTAGCTCATGTAGATCATTCCTGGTTTTCCTGGAAAAAAAAAAAAAAGATAATCCTGATGCATCCCTATGCCAACGACACAGTCTGCATTCGACACCATTGAGTCAGATTTGTTCCGTCTCAAGCTGGTGCTAAATGCAGATAAAACCAAAGGGATGTTGTTTTCAAACAGGAAATCTGTACCAGCAGTCCTTCCTTCTATCTTATCTACGAATGGTGTCCCTATTGAGTTTGTCAATTCTTACAAATACTTGGGAATCCTGATCGATGCACATCTCTCTTTTAAGTCTCATGTCGAAAACTTGGTAAAGAAACTGAAACTGTGCTCCTAAGACATCATTACCTGCAGTGTCCCATCATTTTGGACTGAACTATGCAAAAGGGCCTTCTCTTACTCCGCTCCTGTTTCCTGGAACACCTTGCAAAAATATCTGAAGCTCTCAACCTTGACCTCTCTAATGGATTTTAAACAATTAAGTTCAATGCAAAAATCAATGAAGACATGTTCCTGTTTTTATTGTATTTTACACCGTTTTAATGTAGCGTTTTTTTTTTATTTTGTTTTATATAATTTCTTTTATACATTTTTCATTTTATGTTTTTGTATGAATGTTTATTTTTGTGTGTACCTCATTTATGTTTTTTGTTTAAAACAGGTCTCTTGCAAATGAATCCTCGTGACTCAATGAGACTAACCTGTATAAATAAAGGTTGAAAGAATGAAGACATTCACTGTGCCAGCTTTGTTGCTGTCAAATAAAATAAAATGTACTCTCATCAAATTAATCATTTGGAGTGGATTTGAGGAAAGTGTAGCTAAAATACTATTTTAAATCTGGAAGAAAGGTAGGTGGAGGAGTTCAGGTATCTGGGCATCTTGCTCCTGAGTGATGGTAGGATGGAGGGGGAGATAGATCCACAAAGCAGGGCCTTGTCCTCAGTAATGAGGCCGTTGCTTCAGTCAGTTGTGGTGAAGAAAGAGTCAAGTCAAAAGGCAAAGCTCTGGATTTTCTAGCCTGTCAACATTCCGACCTCCACTTGTGGTCATGAGGTTTGGATCATGACCGAAAGAGCCAGATCCTGGATCCAAGCGGCTGAAATGATCTTCCTTCATAAGGTGGCCAGACTATAGCTTTAGAGATGGGGTGAGGAGCTCTGTCATCTGGGGGAGCTCAGAGTAGAGCTGCTGCTGCTTTGCATCTAAAGGAGTCAGCTGAAGAGGTTCATCTGATCAGAATGCTTCCTGGACACCTCCCAGAAACATCTATGTCAACTTTTGTGTTTTAATCTAGAGGCTATGAGTTTCTGTGTTAAGTACAGTGTTTCCCCTACCATTATACAAGCGGGGTGCCCCACCCCATCAACAGAACTGAGCACCCCGCCT